GTGCCAGCCGGCTGAACATGAGCCGGCAGTGTGCCCAGGCGGCCAAGGCGGCAAATGTAATTGGCTAAGTAATTAGCAATAGGACAAGAGGAAATGGCCTCAGATTGTGCCAGGGGAGGTTTAGATTGGACATGAGGAAAAATTTCTTTACTGAAAGAGTGGTTAAACATTGGAACAGGCTGCCCAGGGAAGTGGTTGAGTCACCATCCCTGGAAATATTTAAAAGATGTGTAGATGAGGCACTTAGGGACATGGTTTAGTGGGCATGGTGGTGGGGGGTTGATGGTTGGACTCGATGATCTTAGAGGTCTTTCCAACCTTAATGATTCTATGATTCCATGATTTGGTAATCTAATTCTTAATTCTATTACCATAGAAGAAGAGATAACTTAAATAGCCTTTTTTTTTTTTTTTTTTTTTTTTCTTTCTCTTCCTCTTGGAGATTTGTTTCGTTTTGACATGCATCCTCACTAGTTACAGAGAGAAACAACACTAAGCTAGAACAAATTTCAAAGAATGCAAATGTTTTTGCTTACTGTGGGGCCCAAGGGTACCTTCCCTATGTGCCTTACTTCCCCAGCACTTGCATCGCCAAGGGCAGTGCCACAGCAAAATGGCTGGAGTGCCTCTCAGTAAGCGTGGCCAAGTCTCTGAGATCCTTTAGCCCCCTCATGTCCCCTGGATGTAAGCATAATGCTGGACATTCATCTGTGAGCAGACGATAGGATGGGGTGGATTACAGAAATGAAGACAGCGTCTTGTTGATGAACAGTGATGCAAAGAATGTATCAAGTACTTCAGCTTTATGTGGGGCTGCTGTCACTAAAATCACCTACCCCATTCAGTGACAGGCCACATTTTTCTTTTTTATTGTTTTAGTGCTAATGTAGTCATAGAATATCTTCTTGTGACCCTTGATGTCCCTTGCAAGTGTCACTCTAAGTGAGCTTCAGCTTTCCTAACACTACCCATACATACCAAGGCAATGCCATGGACGGTTCACCTTATAGCCTGTTTTTACCTCATTCTCCTGTACGTTGATTTCTTTTCTGCTTCGGAGATCCACGTGAGGTCCCTGTTTAGTCAAGCCAGAGTCCTGGTAAATGTGTTTTTCCTCCTCAGCACAAGAATCGAATATTCTTGTGCTTGGAAGATTCTGTCCTTCAAGACCTGTAAGCTTTTCTGAACTCCTCTATGATTCCCAAGCAATCCCACCTACTAGTTTCCTAAATAAGCCAAAATCTGGTCTCCTAAGGTGCATGATTTGTACTCTAATACTTGCTTTTCTGTCCCCACTGAATCATGAACTCTGTTAGTACATGGTCACCACACCCAGGGTTGCCATTGATTTCTACAAACCCAGACAGGTCTTCCTTGTTAGGGAACAGCAGATGGAGCTGTGTGCTGCACAGATTTGCCCATCCAGGACCTAGACCAAGAAGTCATCCCCACCTCCATCCAGAAAGCCCGATTACTTGCATCCCAACATCTTGCCCTTCCAGCAAAAGTCAGGGAGGCTCAAGTCCCTCATAAGAACTGGGTCTGTGATCTAGAGACTTCCTCGAGTCATTTAAAGGTCCACGCACTTACTCATCCTGATCAGGAGGTCAGGACACTCACCTCTGCCTGCCCCCAGGCAAGCGCAGGGAGAAGCAGCTAGGAGCAGACAAGGCCAAACACACTCTACTTGCTGATAACGAAATTACCTGTGGGCTTTAATTCTTCTCTCAGTATGCCACCAAAGGCAGCCTATTTCAGGACACAGTTGTTAGTAAAAATAACAGAGAGATCAATATAGAATGGATAAAATGCAAGCACAACCATTCGGATGGATAAAATGTAAACACATTTACAAAACGTAAATACATTTACAAAAATGGATAAAATGTGGATAAAATGTAAACACAATCATCCAATAATAAAAAGAAAAAAAACCCAACAAATTCCAAGACAGAACGTTGGCTAAGCTGCAAACAAAGCACAGCGAAACTGGAAAGGCCAGGAAAAATTAAGCTCAAATCACTGGGTCGGTTGAGGGATCTTTCATTTCCACAGCTGGGCTCCTTCATGCCATTTCCATTTATCCCAATGACCCTGCAGCGTAAAGAGAAAAAAAGGGGAAAAGGCATGAAGACCAAACCTGCCTCACCGCAGTCGTTCCTCAGAGCAGTGGACAGGCAATTTCGGCAAAGCTGCCTCCTACAGCCCCCCGCCATGTCCTCGGCACCGAGCACTTACATGCACATGTAGGATACTGAATCACTCCATCCAGGCACTGTGCTCTAAATTTCTCAGGGTGTGAAACTTGTTGGTACCACCACTTGCATTCAAAGAAAATATAATCCCCAGATCGATAGGTGGAAGTTCTCAACCAGCTTGATGACTGTAGGCGAATATGGTTCTCTTCCATAAGGCTCTCACGCACTGTACAGTTCTCTGGAAAAAGTACTTTCATTATTTGCCTGTAGACCTCACACTGGACAACTGATGCTCTGAAACCGTTAGTACCAGCTGAGAGCCCCCGAGAGCCCTTTCCCCAGCAGTCTTGCCAGCTCAGGTACGCTAGTCAACGGCTTCTTGGGGGCACTGCCCCTCGCCGCCTGCAGCTTACCGGATG